TGTACATATCTGAACTGAATACCAAAACCTATTCTTCTTTTTAGTTTTTAAATTATGTTTAACACTACAACAGAAACAGTGACAGTAAATCCAATGTTTTTTTCTGGTCAAATTAATCAAACTTGTAAAAGTTCTTGTTGATAATTTATAGAATCACAGCTCCATGAGTGGCAGTCAATAAACCACTGGAGTGGAACTCAGAGCTTTTCAGTCATAAAGAAAGAAAGAAATCAAAAGACATGTGGACACAGGCCCTAAACTAAAACAATGGACAGGTTCTGCTCAAACATGAAGTCTCCATCTGACAGTATTGATGTTGGTGTAGCTTCATTTTTACAGACTAACATTAGTGTTAAGGAAACAGACAGGCCTGGCAGAGGACTGGAGGGAAATCTGTCATGTCAGTCACCTTACTGCACGCAGTGACATTACAGCAATGTTATCACTGTCTCCTAAAGCCTAACCTTTATCTTTGTATCTTTACCAAAACTGAAACACTGGCTGTAGACATGACCACGGGTGTGAACACTTCAGGGGAGAGACAGAGGGAGAGACTCCATCCATTTTGTCACCACCTGGTCGTACTCCACTAACAGTTCTGCTGCTGCCGAATGTGGTTTTATTAGTTACAGTGTATAGAGGTGACGCGACCATACTGACTACTGATAGGCTGTCAGTGTGACCAAATAAATCAGGCTTTATGAAGGGGGAAAACACCCACATTGTGATAAAAAAAAACAACAATGAATAACAAGAACCTTGATAGAAATGTTGTGAAGAGTTTGGTATTTGTACATTTCTGATTTACTATAAACATGTCTAACAGAAACATCAATACGATTCCTTTTTTCAAACTAAAATATTACTTTTATGACCATTGACAATGATATTCATTTGGAACAGAACATAAACGGACATGAAAAAGACAAATTCAGGAGGTTTTAACTGTTTCTCTAAAGTGAACCTCATCAGATTAAAATGATGTTTTCTCTGTGGAGAATTGACTTCAACAATGTTCACCTGCACATAAGAGCTCTGCCTTGAATGAAGGTTCAGGCCATGGATAGTACTGTAATTGAACCACAGATCCACAGTTGAACTTCTGGCACGCTGCTGCAGCCCATCTCATGGAATTCTCCTGGTCCATAAAGATCCTCTTTGTTTCAAGGTCATATTCAGTCCTCGATCCAACAGTACATTTAAATTTGTCTCTGATCAACAGCCTGGCTGTGTCAATCAGCTCTGACCAAAGACAGAAACATGCATTACTACATGAAGAGGTTTGACCAAACTACAGTCAGACTAAATGGACTCTACTGGAGGCTGAAGGTGACAGTTTTATTTACCTGTTATTTTGTCTCCAGCCCAGACACCTGAGGAGAAAAGAAGGTTTCCAGGCATTTTATTATTTCATGTATTATTTCAGATTTCAGATTAGTCTCTAATCTAACTGTCAATCATCATTAGTATGTGACGTTATTTAAAACGATCTTCTGATTTATTTTCTGTATACCCCGTGATCATGTGATCAACACATCATAAAACACTGACATTTACAGCCTGCCTGTTTCTATAGAGTGGAGACTAATAATTCAAGTCAGTTGGTGCTGCTGTGAAACACCTACCTGAGCTACAGAGACACAGCAGCAGCAGCAGCTGCAGCTTCTTCCCCTCCATCTGGATTTCGTCTGAAGCTGCCTCTCACCTCTCATCTTTATTTGCTCTTTATCAAAGCTGGAATCAAGTCCAACCTCTAGGGCGGCCACACTGACGATGATTTTAGAAAAAACAAAAACCAACACAAGATTAAAGTCTGACATTTCTGAGAATAACACCTTAACGTTACAAGAAAAAAAAAATTCATACGATTCCAAAAATTCAGACCCAAGTTTATGAGAATGAAGTCATACGTTTATGAACAAAGTCTTCATATTAGTGAAGACAGATAGATGTCTACAGTTGTGATGGACAGTGAAGAGTAGAATTATAACATCTCAATTCTGACTAACTTATGGTTAGAGATGTTTGATTGACTCTTATAACGATGACCTTTTTTTCCTAATGTTCTGACTTTAAGCTCATAAAACTCACAACTTTAATTGTATTATTTTTTCACTCTCCATGTGGCCCCAGTTCTCTGTGGTAACTGTCTTTGAAAGTAATTCCATTTCTTGTTATATTTCATTTCTATTTCATACCTCGGTCTTTCAGATATTTAAAATGTTGATCCATTACAGCAGGACTAGGTTGTTTTCTGTATTGTGTATAATTTTTGTATTTTAAAAAGCCAAGAATAATATCAAAAAAGCCAAAATTAGCAAACACAGAATGGGCGACACAGGACATATTGTTGTCGTTTGGCTCCACCTAGCAGACATGCAACAGAACAAACATTCACCATTTGACCACAGATCTTAGATATTTCCAAAACCATCTCACACCAGACTTCACTGCAAAACAGGCAGGAAAATGCCACTGTTGCCACGGAACTTTTCTTTTTGAAGTTTTTAAAATGTTAGGTTTGGTACATTTAATTCATAGTAGTTCACAGAGATTCAAATTTGCTCTGGTCGTAACATTGGTACAAGTTAGAGAGGGGAACAGGAGCACAGCCAATCAGAGACAGAGATCCGCCCGTGCTCCGTCTCTTATTGGTTTAGACCATGATATGATCCTAGCGATTGTGTGTGTGTGTGCGAGAGTGCCCGTTTGATCACATGAGAAAATAGAGCAAAATACATGTATGTTTTCACCCGGGCAACGTCAGCTGTGACCGGGATAAATTAGTAGTCTCACTGTTAAAAACCTTGGTCATATGTGCCACCAAATTGGTCAAACTCTAGAGCCCCGGACTAAGCGTGGAGGATTTTTCAAAAAAATTGCTACGACAATGATCTTAATCACATTTCCTGTTGTGTCACTAACCACATGAGGAAAAAAACCAAAAACTGATAAGATAAAAACTGCTGCTTCTACTGAAGCTGTTATCAACCTGTTCACCTCTGCTGAGGTCCAGATCAACGCCTGGTTTAAAAAAGAGTCACCTTGTTGTTTTGGGCTATCACAGTGGTCAGGCATGCCTTGTTATCATTATTTCTACTTTAAGACCAATATTTATGATTCGACCTGCAGCAGAGAAGTTGAAGTGGGCAGAGTGATTGACAGCTGGCAAAATGTAGATTTGCACAGAGTCAGAGTTGTTGAAGAGAAGTTTGAAGAAGCCTCCTTGGTACTGCAGCTGAGCTGAGCATGTGATGGTGAAGTCAGATCCTACTAGAACATGGAACACCTGAGGGTCATCTGTGATGACGTCACTCATGTACGGGGAGACTGTTATGTTTGGCTGGGCCAGCAGATCTGGGAGAAAAACAGGAAGATTTTCACATGAAGAACAACAACAACAAGACAAACAGCTGATGA